AGTACATGATGCAGTTTGTTTTAGAGTCTAAATAACTTCTAATCGTTGTCCTTATGTGCTTGCTCTGGCTTTGCACAGTAACTATGAAAAGTAACGACATAATATGACACCTATAGGTCTTGGTTCAACAGGAAGCCACGCTGTTGCCCAGGTGTGTTGATTTTTTTTTTTTTTTTTTTTTTTTTTTTTTTTTTTTTTATCTCCCTGTAGCCCCAGCTGTTCTACAACTCACTATGTAAACCAGGCTGTTGATCCGCCTGCCTCTGCCTCCCAAAGGCAGGGATTAAAGGCATTCACCACCACACCACGCCCCAGCTCCTTTTATTACTCTTGACTATGACAGTGATCCTCTGACATCTGCATTCACTTTACATGGAATAGAATGATTGACAGCTTTGTCTTCTTGAGAAATTCTTTGTTTTCATGGGAATGAATTTGAATTTGTCATGCAGTTCAATTTTACCACAGGAGTCAGGTCTAACCAGTTTGGCAGAATGAAAAGGTGGTTTGAGAGTGATTGGAGAATATCTTGTTTAATTCTGAAAATGAGAAATATTCCAGAAATGCTGTTAGTAAGCTTTTTGCACATACTTCACTATGACAAAGTGTTTGAGGGGAAAGGTGGTTTATCTTATAATTCTTTGTGTACACATTTTACACGGAAAAGAAAATCCTCTGGTTAACAAGAAGATCTGAGATCCAGTGTTGATTCTTCTGCTCCCTGATAATCTTGGGTTTCAGTTTCTTCCTCTACCTGATGAGAAATACCTTGATTTATGGGTTTCCTATTGTTGCCTTAAGAAATTGACCACACTTTGAACTGGCAAGGTGGCTTAGCTTGTAGAGATGCTTTGCAACAACGTGGGTTTTATCCCTAGACCCCACATGGTAGAAAGAGAAAACTGACTCTCACAAGTTATCCTCTGACTGCCACATTTTTACTATGGCACGCATGCGCGCACAGAGAGAGAGAGAGAGAGAGAGAGAGAGAGAGAGAGAGAGAGAGAGAGAATATGTATATATAAAAGAGAAACACTTGGAGAAAGAAATGACCATGCATGTAGTAATTTAAAGCAAAATAAATTTCTGACGCAGGTCTTGCTGAGCTAAAGCCAGGGTATGGTCGGGTCCATGTTCCTTTCTAAAGTCCCTTTGGGAGAATCCATTTCCTTGCCTTTCCCAGTATTAGGGCCTCTTGCTCCAGCTTCAAAGCCAAAGCCAGTAGCGACCAATTTGGTCTTTCTCACACTGAGTTACTTGAAATTTACTTTTCTTTCTTTCTCTCTCTCTCTCTCTCTCTCTCTCTCTCTCTCTCTCAGATTGAACCCAGGGAGGGCCTCCTACATGCTAAGCAAGTATCCTACCACTGACCTATACCTTTAGTCCCTTCCTCTTCCTCTCTCTCTCTTTCTTTCTTTCTTTTTTTCTTCTTTCTTTCTGTGTGTGCACGTGTGTGTGAGTACATATACTTATGTGAGGAGGCCAGAGGACAACTTCAGGTGTCATCCTCAGAAATACCATCCACCATCTACCTCCTTTGAGACCAGTTATCTTACTGGCTTGAACCCCACAAATTAGGCTAAACTGCCTGGGCAGAGAACACCAAGAATTCCTCTGTCTCAATCTCTCCAGTGTTGGGATTATAAGGTGCACCACCACACCTGGCATTTTTATATGGGTGCTAGGGTCCTCAGGTTGTGAGGCAACTTTACAGATGAAGCTATCTCCCTATCCCACCTCTTATACATCTTAAGAAACCTTGTCATGACACAGTCCACATGGATACTCCAAGGAATACTGTATAAAGTTGTCTAATAAGCAGTCATCTACAACTTTAGTTCCCTGTTACCACATACCTTAACATACTCACAGGTCCTGAGAAGGTGTGGACATAGTTGAGATCCATTATTTTGCCTATCATGCTAGATAATCTCTTAAATTTTTTTCACTTTAAACATTATGATAAAATATAGCTGTTCTCTTCTTATTTTGGCTTTCAAATGCAACAAAGAATGTCCATACAGCTAAGTAATAAACAGAATACTATTTTTTGTGAACGTCATGCATGAGGACTCTATTTCCATCCTACCCAGCCCACGTCCAAATCTTCCCATGCCCCCACTCCCTCTCTCAATTTTTTGTCCTCTTCTTTGATTATAATTTTTACATATACCTGTATACATTAATAAATATTCATATATAATGTACTAAGTCCATTTAGTGGTACTCATGTGTACCTGTATTTAGAGCTGCCCACTTGAGATTAGATAACCTCTCTGGGAGCTAGTCCTGGAAGAAAACTGATTCTCCTTCCCTCAGCATCCATGGATTTCCTGCAGCTCTTCATCTTGAGTGGGATCCCTTGAAAACTGGCATGCAAACCAGTTTTGTCATTATATAGATCTCTTTAGACTACCATACCTTGGTGATTTCCCTGCCATGTCTAGAATGCATTAACTAATAGCAGGTCTTGTCCTCTGGCTCATACATTCTTTCTGCCCCCTTTTCCTTGGCGTCCCTTGAGCCTTAGGTATAGAAGGCATTGCAGATGTATCACTTAGGGCTGGGCACCTCACAGCCACCTATTTTCTGCATTTGACCAGTTGTGTAACTTTGTAATAATCTCCATCTGTTGAAAAAATGAGCTGCTTTGATGAGTGGTGAGAGGTACGCTTATCTGTAAATATAAGGATATTTAGAATATAGTAAAAAATCATGTTGATCTAGGGAAGTGACAGAAGCAGAGTTTTCTCTAGGGTTTGTGACCTTTCCAGCCATGTGTACTTAGCTGTGTTTACAGTACCATTCATAAATTCCTTTCCATTAAGCAGGCCTTAAGTCCAATTAGATGACTCTTGATTTCTCCCAAGATAAAAATGCCACTACTGCACCAATACAGATAATTTACTAGGGAAATGCTATTTTACATATTGCTTAAAATTTATTTTTGTGAAAAGACTTCGGTGTACATAGTTCAACAACAGAAGGATATAAAGGAAATATTGACAGCTGTGCTTCCGTCTCTACCTATGTATATATTCCATTTCTTATTGAACTAATCCCCTTGTTTTATTTATAGAGTTTCCGCAATAAATTACAACCAATGGAGTGAAGTCTAGCTACAGACATTTATTCTCTCATAATTTTAGACAGTAGATCCAAAATAAAAATGTCAGTAGGGTTATGATCCCTCTGTAGGCTTGAGGAAAACTCCTTGTTTGGTTCTTCCAACTTTCTGTGACTCTAATTGTTCCTTGGCTTCTGTCCCCATCACCCCAATCTCTACCTCCATGGTGAGTGAACTTCTTTTCTGGGTCTTTGCCACTGTGCCTGTGTACTCTCTTTGTTTTGTGTAAAAACACCAGTCATTAAATCTTATATATGAGTTCACCTTAACTAATTGCATCTTCAAAGACATTATCTCCAAGTCAGGTCACAGTTACAGCACAACTTAGTATGTTACACTTATTGATGGACATGTGGATGTCTTCATTTGTTTGATATTTGAACAGCTGCTAGACGTTTTCTGTGAATCTTTGTATAAGTTCTTACACACTATGCATACGTTCTTGTTGTGAAATGCTTCTGAGATGTCAGTTGCTAGTACATAGAACATGATAGGGTTTACTAAATTGTACTTCAGAGAGTTTGCATGAAATCCTTCTCTTGTAATTCTAGCCTCTTCAACAATCTGAGAATTGAAAAGACAATCTCATCTTTCATTTCCATGCCTTAGATTATTTGTTGAAATTATCACATTCTCATTTGTTTGTAGATTGTGTGTGAATCTCTGAATTACTAGTTGTTTTAGGTCCTAGCTGAGTTGCTGGTCTGTCTTTTATTTAATTAATTTTACTTCACATGCTTATTTTTTACATCACTACTTTCCATTGTTTTTATCTTCTCACTTGAATAGAATTTGATCTTTTACAGAAACTTGAAGCAACAGATTATGTGAAATTATATCTTCATAAAGAAGGGGTTTTAGCTCCTTGCAGCTGTGATGTGAGCCTGGAAAGTGCTTAATGAGTTACTGTGTCTGTGATTAGCATGGTCCCTATACAGAGACACACACAGAGGAGGGTAAACAGTACACTGGACGTGAGGCGTATTTGAAAGTGTGTCAGTCGTAGAACTTAATCTAAATCTGTGAAGAGGTAAAAACTTCTTTTCTTGTTTTTTTTTTTTTTTTGAGATGAAAGTAATTTGTTATATACTCAATAGATCATTAAAACACAAATGCCTCCAAAAACTAATTTGAAAATATATAATTTCTGAATATACACTTTCAAACTTGTTACACACAGATCATAGTCCAGATAATCAATTTCTTCTTCTCAAAGATTAATAGTACTTGAAAGACATGGAATTCAAAAGGAACCTTTACTCACTCTTTTCCCTTTCTTTTTCCTTCTTTAGAATCTTGTTTGGGTCTGGCAGATCAAGCAAATTGACCTACCATAGGCTTTCCATAAAGAACAGAGCCATTAGCTTCCTCTGAAGCTCTTGCTGCTGCTTTTTCATTTGGAAGTCCAGTGAGCACTAGCCTTTCATGCACCCTTCTTTCATCAAACGTATATCAAACATGATCCACTGTGTTTCTGATGAAAAGTCAACATACCTTCCAGAGATAAATTTAAGGTCCTTTTCTTGAACTTGTCTAGCTAAATTCTTCACATAAATTCTACTGTTTGGTTCATCAGGTTCATAACTTTGGAAAACCGTAAGTGTTTCCATGTCTTCTCTAGAAATTTGACCCTTTTCCAACTCCCTTCTAGAAATACATTCTGGGGGCACATCATCAGAATCTTCTTTAATCTCTTCTGTGATGTCCAAATTAGCTTTAGGGAAGATCTTTCCAAATCCTATACTTACAGCATCAACTTCAGTGACTAGTGAATCAGAATTCTTCTCATCATTTTGTTCCCTTTCTGAATCTTTCTTAAATGCTGCTGGCATGTTGGCAGATACATGGAATTCAATTCTTTTGTTACCTACAGGTTGTAGCTGGTTAAATACATCTGAAGGTAACAGCAGAGGATGCAAATTGCTGTGTGAAGCAGATGAAGGTATAGTCAACACATCCTTTATTTTCTTCTTTTCCTCGCATGTCGAGGCTTTACTGCTTTGGGTCTTCAGGGCTGAAGTTCTGCGAGTTCCGTTAGTTTGATCATTCTGTCTGTCCTCCTCATCGCTACTTTCATATTCTGACTCTTTACTAGGTAACTCTTCATCCTCATACACTGAAGGTCATGCAGTCATTGGCCAATTGGTGTAGGCAAATTCATTTTATTCACAAGATGAAGAACCTGTACGTAGAACTTGGCACAACTGCCTATACTTGCTAGGTTTGTGCTTGAAAGCGCTGGGTAGATATATTTGAGGCATGAATTTAGAGGAAAAGTCAGCCCACGGTTTGGTGCAATTCCATTTTCTATTGTTAAAGAACATGGCCCTTTCTTCTCTTGATCATCTTCTACAACATCATCAGACCTTTTCTTTTATTCCGTACCTGATGTGGGACACAGGGAATGAACCTGATCTTGTTCTTTTGCAAATTCAACAACTAAAGTATGACCTAGATAGAAGTTTCAGCTGATGGAGTCAGCTGCTTTTTCACTAGGGAAAGTAGCAAATGCTGTATGTTTCAGATGCCCCTTATCGGCAACACCAGCACTGACTACACCCCGAAGTACTTCAGCAGGCCCTCCTGCTCCTCCGCCATCAGCTCAGCCAGCAGGAGCCTGACCAGGAGCGTGCAGTAGCCCTGGGGGCCAGGAGAGTAAAGCAGAGGTGGGGCTGCATTGACGGCTCAGCCTCCATCTTCCCTTGTGTTATATATATATTTATTTATTTATTTTACATGTATGAGTGTATTGCCTACATGTATGTAAGTACACCCGCGTCATGTCATGCAATACCCACAGAGGTCAGAAGAGGGCATTGGATCCCTTAGAACTGACATTACAGATGGTTGTCAGCCCCAGCCCAGGTCCTCTGCAAGAGTAGCCAGTACCCTTAACCACTGAGCTATCTCTCCAGCCCTTCTTTCCCCGTTTTTAAATAGGAGGACTTCATTTAAATTGACACACTATGGTACACATCCAGTGGACTACCTGCTCATCATGGCATTCTCTTCCCAACGTCACTTAGTTTGTAATGAAGCATACTGAGGAGAGCAGGCCTGCTTCTGGCTGTACACCCCAAGTAATTGAAAGTAGGACACGAGTATTTGTAAACCCATGATCGTTGCAGCCTTACTCCCAGTAGCCAAAAGTGGAAGGAACTCAAGTGTCCATATTAGGGAAAATACTACATATTTTCTTATGAAATTGTGTGTGTTCCTATGTGTTAGTGCATATAGTCTTCCTTTTTTCTTTCTTTAAAAAGGACTTTTTGTAGCCCAGGCTGACCTTGAGCTATGTAGCCAAGGATGCCTTTGATCTTCTGATTCTCCTGCCTCCACCTCCCTGAGTGTTGGGATTACAGGTGTTCACCAACATGCCCAGTTTTATGTGGTGCTAAAGAGTGAACCAAGAGTTTCGTGTAACCTAGGCACTCAGTCTGCCAGCTGAGCCACGTCCCTAGCCCAGTGTGCATGAGATACCTCTGAAATGCAGATGAGTAAGTAAATGAAGCATGGCATATCCCTGCACTGAAATGTTATCCAGCTCTTAAAAGGAAGGACATTCTGAAACATGCTTCAAATAGATAAAATGTAAGGACAGCATGCCAAATAAAATGACAGCCATTTAAAAGAAAGATATTATTTGATTCCATTTTTGTAATGTACCCAGTGATAGAGTGCAATGATGCCTGTCAGGGCCTAGAGAAAGAAGGGAAATAGGAAGTCATTGCTTAGTAAGTAGGGAGTTGCAGATTTACAAGATGAAAAGAAGTTTGGGGATTGACTCCACCACAATGACAACATACTTAATGCTACTGAATTATATGCTTAATGTACAGGACAACCCCACAAGACTGCGAGTGAATTTCTAAGTAGAAACATTACAGGCCAGAAAGTGTGAGCTATGTTTTCAAAGTGGTGAAAGGAAAAAAAGAAAAAGTTACCAATCAAAAATACCATACCTCACAAAACAATCCTTCAATAATGAAGGAGAGCTGAGCATAGCAGCACATACCTGTAATCCTAGCACTCAGGAGGCTGAGGCAGGAGGACTGAAAGTTCAAGGCTAGCCTGAGCTACATAGTGAATTTAAGACCACCCTGGGCTACATAGCAGCAAGACCCTGGAGAGGGGATGGAGGGGGGAGGGAGAGAGGGAGGGAAAAAAGGAAGGAAGGAGAGAGGAAGGGAGGGAGAGAGAGAGAGAGGGATTGAGTCTCTGAAGAACAAATTTTTCACCATTAGGACTGCCTTGCAAAAAAGGAGACAAAAGTATTATAAATAACTTAGAGGTAGGTTAATGGATCTACAATACAAATTTATAACATTCGTACAAAAATAACATAAGTGTATAGTGGAAGTAAAAATATTGTTTTGTGTGTGATTGAACTGAAGCAGTTATCAACTTAAAATCAACTGTTCTAACTGTATCTGTGGTAAACACCATGGTTAAGACAGAAAATACTTGTAGAAGTTAAATGAGAGAAAAATAAAGAGAACTCACAGTCTATCAGTACAAAAAAAAAATAGTCAGCAAAAGGAAAACAGCAAAGGGAAAAGATGCTCAAAGAAACCACCAGAGGGGCTGGAGAGACAGCTCAGTGGTTAACAGCACTTGTTCCCGCAGAGGACTACAATTAGGTTCCCAGTACCCACATCAGGTGGCTCAAAACCACCTCTAACTCTGGCTCTAGGAGATCTGATTCTCTCTTCTGGCCTCTGTGGGCACTTGCACACACATGACCTGCACATATACATACATACACATAAATAAAAAATAAAAATAAAATCTTTTTTTTAAAACCATAAGGGGAGCCCTCGTGAGGCAGAGGCAGGCAGATCTCTGTGAGTTCAAGGCCAGCCTGGTCTACATAGTGAGTTCCAGACCAGTTGTGGCTACAGGGAGACCCTGTCTCAAAAAGGCCAAAACAAAAAACAAAAAAAACATAAGGGGGCTGGAGAGATGGCTCAGCAATTAAGAGCACTGGCTACTCTTGCAGAGGACCCAGGTTAGTTACCAGCACCTACATGGTAACTAACAACTATCCATAACTCCAGTTTGAGGGGAATCTGACACCCTCTTCTGGCCCCTGTGGGCATTTGCACACCTGTGGTGCACTTACATACATGCAGGCAAGGCCGGGCATGGTGGTGCATGCTTTTAATCCCAGCACTCGGGAGGCAGAGGCTGGTGGATCTCTGTGAATTCAAGGCCAGCCTGGTCTACATAGTGAGTTCCAGGACAACTGGGGCTACAGGGAGACTCTGTCTCAAAAAGACCAAAAAAAAAAAAATACATGCAGGCAAAACACTCATACATATAGAATTAAAATAAATAGATACAAACCATCGGAATAAGAGAAAGAAATTAATAGAGTGCAGTAGTAAATTCTTCCCTATCCATAATTATTTTAAATATAAATGGGTTAAATACCCCAATCAAAAGACAGAATAGATGAATGATTTTTTTAAGTATATACTATCTATTAGAAACTCACTCAGGAAGCTTGGAGAAGTGGCTCAAAGGTTAAGAGCACGAACCTTCCAGAGGGCCCAATTTCAGTTCCCAGCACCCATGTCAGGTGGCTGACAACTGCATGTAACAACAGCTCCAGTGGATCTGACACCTCTCTTCTGGACTCTATGGGCATCTGCACTCAAGTACACAGACACATACTAAAAGATAAATCTTAAAAAAGAGAAACTCACTTTAGGTTTAAGGGCAAACGTAAGCTAAAGGTAAAGGAACAGCCAGGTATGGTGGTACACACCTTTGATCTCAGCACTTGGGAGGCAGAGGCAGACAAATCTCTGTGCCAGTGAGGCCAGACTGGTCTACATAGTGAGTTCCAGGCCAGTTGTGGCTGCAGGGAGACCCTGTCTCAAATAAAAAAAAAAAACCCAATAATAATAAAATAATATTACTATTATTTAGAAAAAATAAAAGGACAGAGAAAGAGATCCCATAATAGAGCAGGATGTCTGTACTTATGTCAACAAAATCAGCATTAGGTCAGAAACTCACAAGAGACAAAGAAAGGATGATCTAATGATAAAGATGTCAGTATACCAGAAAGATATAATAATTATAAATATATATGCTCCCAACCTCTGAGCACCTAAATACATACAGCAAACGACAGAACTAAAGAGCTAGACAGCAATGCAATAATCATATCAGACTTCAACAGCCCCTTTTCAATAGCAGATAGAACATCCACACAGAGGTCCAGTGAGGAAACTAGTGATTTGAAAGCTGCTGGAGACTTGAATGGACCTATGAGGTGTCAGCAGAATATTCCACCCAGTAATATCAGAATGTGCCTTCCTTTTACTGCATGTGAAACACCCTCCAGGCTAGATCCCAGTGGTAGATCACAGTCTCAGCTCATGCTTCTGTAACAAAATACCTGGGCCTGGGTAATTAACAGAAACTTATTTCTCACAGTTTGGGAGGCTGAGAAATCCAAGGTCAAGGTGCCAGAAGTTTCCATATGAATAAGAGTCCAGCCTCTGCTTGCAAGGTGACCCTTTAAACACTCCATTCCCAGAGGATGGAACACTATTCATCCCATGATGGGGCAGAGAGTAGAAGGCAGTAAAGCCATGAGGGAGGAACCCTACTGATCCATAAACCTCCCTTTAGCCCCAGTCTCCCAACAACAGTGCATTAGCAATTGAGTGTCTAATAATGTGTCTTAGAGGGACAAACATTCAAAACCCATAGTAGTTACCAAACAAGACCTGCATATTTAAAAAGATTGAAATCCTAAAGTAGCTTTCCTGACTACAAGGAAATGAAATTAGAAATCAATAGCAAATAAATAAATAAATAAATAAGCAAGCCTTGAAAATCTACAGGTATGGGCCAGGTGTGGTGGTGCGTACCTTTGATCCTAGCACTCAGGAGGCAGAGGCAGGCAAATCTCTGTGAGTTCAAGGCCAGCCTGGTCTACATAGTTCCAGGCCAACTGGAGCTACAGGGAGACCCTCTCTCAAAAAAAAGAAAATAAATAAATAAATAAATAAAATCCACAAGTATGTACAAATTAAACAGTGAACTCTTGAATAGCTAGTGAGTCAAGAAATCAGAAGATATACTAAATTTTACTTCTAGGAGGTACATGCAGTTCCTAGCTCCCTCCTCCCACCATCCTTAGAACAAACCAAGATAATATTTCTACAAACTACAGTTTAGGGAACCAAAGAATTTATTGGGCTTACTAACAGAGCATAGGGTGAGGATGAACATTACTTACGAAGGTGTGGGCACATGTGGACTTCCTTCCTACATTGTGGCTGGGACCCTCTGACCTCCCAGCAGTGGCCCAAGATAGCGAAGGCCACCCCCTCCCTCTCATGCAGCTAAAGCCAACTGATTGGGTGGGAGAGATGACTGACTCCCCCCTGACCTTCCTTTTCTAGCAGGTCAGCAGTCAAGCTTATAATCCTAGATGAGCTGGTGCAACCAGGCTTGGGAAGGAGACATGATTATAGCTTGTCAGTTTAGTTTGCCAGGCAGAGGACAAGTTCACACTCCACCCCTTCCTCCAGCTCTTACATTCTTTCTGCCAGCCTCTTCCATAAGAGTCCCTGAGCCTTGGAGGGGGTGATGGATATAGGATAATTTTTTTTCCATTGTGGTGAGAGACTGAACTCTCTCTGGCCTTTTCATCATTTGTTTCCAAGACGTGGCTGTTGATTCATCGCAGTGGTATTTTTCCTACTATGACGACAAATGAAAAGAAGCAGAAACATTGATGTAATAATCTAACTATGGGTGTAAACACAAATGTTTAGAAGATACCTTAACAGGTGCATCACATTCATCTAAGAAAACACTTGCATCAGCTTCCCCACTAGGGCCTATGACTTCCCCTGCCATTGGGAGTTAGCCTGGGTTGTACTAAATGTGTGTTTCTCCCCAAGGAGTGAACCTTAAATTCAATCAGAAATTTGTTGGTTGTACATATATTAGTCAAGCCATTATTGAACCAGCAGGCACATCTTGCTTGGCATGTTGATAGTGCAACACGTGGGGGGTCCATCATTAAGCAGAGCTTTTGGGAACCATTCTCCTCTAACAATTCTGCTAAGGATCTCCTAGCACTATGAGGGCCAGCCGTCTGGTGTCAGTTTCCAGCTTGGTCTCAGCTTGATCTCTCCCTTCCCCATGCTCATATCATGCAGCGTCTTCAGCAATAGGGACTTACCAACTGTTTCTGGTGTGATACCAACATTAGTGACAATAGCCTCTATCATTTTGAGGCCCTCGAGAGTCTCTCTAGCCAACAGCTCATGGGGGGCAACCCACCCCTGATACTGAAATTTTTATTTTATAATTGTACAGTTTTGGGGAGCCTCTATTTTTATTTTATAAGATATTTGTTGTTTGCTCTGACATCTACAGGATCAGGCTGTTGCAGACTTTCCCCAACCATTCTGGTGGGTATCACTTATGCCTTACCTGACCATAAAGTTCTCAAGAATTTTACAGCTATAGCTAGCTAGCCTTTATTTCTTCAGGTGTACTTGCTGCCTCTCAAATGGGTTTCACATCTGTAAAACACTCAGAGGTTGCCGGATGTGGTGGTGCATGCCTTTAATCCCAGCACTTGGGAGGCAGAGGCAGGTGGATCTCTGCGAGTTCAAGGCCAGCCTGGTCTACATAGTGAGTTCCAGGCCAGCTGGGGCAACAGGGAGACCCTGTCTCAAAAAGACCAAAAAAAAAAACCACTTAGAGGTTAACATTATATACTAAATCAAACATGGACAAGGTCTAACATAGCATGGAAAGATTTATCCATTTGTATTATTTTCTCAACAAATCTATGTTGTGCACTGTAGCATGGATAAGAAGCATCAACTTACTTAGTTCTTTATTATCTTTTTTGGGGGGGTCATTCTGCATCCTGGGGATTTTATATGGAGCCTCCCTGCATTTTCTTATCCTTGATAAACTCACTGGGGCTAGCTCAGGTTGTCTGAGCACAGGGCCAAGGAAGAATAGGGCCCCTCTTGCCCCTGATGCACCTGTTGGTTTCCTGAGTCAGGTAGGCCCTGTGTCTGCCTCCTGACTGTAGCCATATCTGTTGTTTCTCCATTGACCACACGTGTCTTCTGGGGGAGGCCCTGGCTGGGCAAACTCTCTGCATCCCTAGCATAACCTTTCCCCGGAGAGAAATGTACCCTTAATCTTTGGGGGTCCTTATCCACCCTTGGGACAGTTTTTATCTTCTGTATATCTTTTGTGAACTGCCCCTCAGATTTTAAAGCCTTCCAAAAGCTCCTTAGTACAGAATTTGGCTTTTTATCAATTTTTTCTTTAAGAACTTGGGCTAGACACAGATCTTACCACATTTGACTTTGAGTAACCCAAACGGACCTCTTTTTTGTTTTGTCATTTTTATATCATTTTTAGGTTGTTTTACTTTTTTTTTTTGTCTTTTTGAAACAGGGTCTCCCTTACTATGTAGACCAGACTGGCCTTGAACTCACAGAGATCCACCTGCCTCTGCCTCCCAAGTGCTGGAACTTCTTGTTTTACTATTTTACAGACTCATTTTACACACTGGTTTAAGTCACCTAGATCCACCAAAGCCTCTCCTACTTCTCAAAGATCCTGCCCCACTAAGGGACTTAGCAAAACCATTAAAGCACGATACCAATCTCAAGGTCCCTGTTGAATCTCTGGTGAACACAGTCCTATCTGGCCCAGTGAACTGGGCATCATACATTGCTTTCCTCATACCTAGTTCTCTCAGTAATGCCTGTCCCTCTTCTGTGGTCTTCTAGCCCCTCATATCTATGGGAACTTCCATTTATGATGACCAAGTATCTCTAATGGCTTGTACAAGCCAGTGCATCAGGGCCTGTTTCCCCCTGTACTGCCTCAGGTTATGTAGCCTATGTCTCAAGGAGGGATGGTGGGTGGTTGTATAGCTCAGCTTTATAAGTGTTCAGCTTCTGTAGCACTTAAACTAATATCATTTGCTCCCATGTCCCATATTCTCATAAGCCATGTGGTGAGGGGTGCCTTCCTTATTTGAAAGTCTTCCCTAGTTCCAACAGCTCCAATGTGGAGTATTCTCTACTGGCTGTAGTTCCTTACACCAGACCATTGTTAAGGCCTCCATCAGCATGTTGAAACATGACTTTTTTCTTTCTTTGTGTTAAAGGTTGAATCTGAGGGGCATCTTTAGCTATTGCTAGGTCATTCTCTTCCTCATCACTATCTGCCTTCTCCCATGGGTCCAATGTTTGGGGACTCCAGGTTGAGCCTTATATTACCAATCTAATCTGGGCTCTCTTCCCTTTCTGGCCCCCCTAGCCATAAAAAAGGGGCAAGCTAAAATCTTCACTTTTTCTCTCACAAAATTCACTGGCCAGGTCAGAGGCTGATACTGAAGAGGAACACATACCTTTTTAGTCGTATCCCTCTGAGCTGCTATGGCCTCTGCCTGGGAAAAATCTTTTATTATGCAAAGAAGCAGCCAAGCAGTAATTGCAGCTGCTTGATGAAATTTTGGCCCCTGCCCTACTCCCAAGGCTTGCAAATTTTGCTCTAGACCTCCACAGTCCTTAAAGCATTTCCCATACACACATGGTGGCCCCCATTGCTTAAGCCTGCACACTATTTTATACCATTTACAAGAGGACGGCCAGCCTGGGATTTCCCCCACTGACCTCGTCTACTTAGGTGGCCTCATTCTAGTTACACATCTTACTATCCACTGCATTATCCCTACCATTGCCACGACCCTGACTAGGCTTGTGGGGCTAGCCCACCATGTCCATATTTCCTTTGCCCACATTCTTCCCTCACCCAACTTTGTTTCAGTCATTGGCCTCCTTCCCCATATCAGAGACATCATCATTGCTCTTTCCAAATTCCTCCTCAGTTTTGTGGTATCCTGTCCAACTACACCAATTGTAGCTAAATTTTATTTCTGGAAGGTGCTCCTTCCTCCCACTGTTCTTATGACAAACCGAGATAATATTCCTTCAAGCTCCAGTTTAGGGAACCAAAGAATTTATTTGGCTTACTAACAGAACAGAGGGTGGGCATGGGAGTTACTTACAAAGGTGTGGGCATGTGTGGGCTTCCTTTCTACATTGCGACTGGGACCCCCTGACTTCCTGGTGGTGGCCCAAGATGGTGAAGGCTACCCCCTCCCCCTGGCTTCCCCTGTCCCTATCCTTAGTCCCTCCCCCTCATACAGCTAAGGCTGACTGATTGGGTGGGAGGGATTACTGACTCCCCACAACCCTCCTTTTCTTGCAGGTCAACAGTCAAGTTTATGATCCTAGAGGAGCAGGTGCAACCAAGCTTGGGAAGGAGGTGTGACTAAACTTGTCAGTTTAGTTTCCCAGGTGGAGGACAAGTTCATACAACAGAAGGTAAATTCAAAAATATCTTGAAATAAGTGAAGATGAAAATGCCACACGCCAAAATTTATAGAATGAATTAAGTGGGATCCTTGTACTAAGTGATATGCATGCACACAAATGCCCATGTTACAAAAGAAGAATCGCTATCTAAATTTACATCACGGGTAACTAGAAAAAAATAGGGAATTGTGTCTAGAGTTGGCAGAAGGAAGAAAATGATCAAAGTAGACATAAAATAAGATTAACAAAATTAAGAGTTATTTTTCTGAAAAGGTGAATATAAATTGACAAAACTTTAGATAGACTTACTGAGGGGAGAAAAGACTCCAGTAAATAAAACCAGAAATAAAAGAACAGACATTATAGTCAGTACCACAGAAGTAAAAGGAATCATGATACCATGCCTGATGGTGCACACCTGGGATCCCAGCACTGGAGAGACAGGAGGATCAGGAACTCAAGGTCATACTTGGTACATAGCTACATAGCAAGTTCAAGACCAGCCTGGGCTATATGGAACCCTGTCTCAAAAAAAAAATCATAAATGACTACTATAAATAAATGCAGCAATATGCAGAACATAGAAGAAATGGAAGAATTCCTAGAAACATATAACTGACCAAGACTGACTCCTACAAAAACGGTCTGAAGCCAAGTGTTGTAGCACACCACACACCTGTAATCCCAGCCCTCAGGAGTTGGAAGCAGGAGAATTGCTGCAAGTTCAAGGCTAGTATGGTCTATCTAGCGAGTAGCAAGCCAATCAGGGCAACATAGGGAGACTTGTTGAAAGAGAGAAATAAGGGGAAGGAAGGGAGGGAGGGAGGAAGGGGAGAGGGGAAGGGAGGGAGGGAGGAGCACATGGTTGTAATTCCAGCAGTTGGAAAGCAGAGGCAGGAAGAAGTAAAGCTCTATTGAGGTCAAATGCTAGGTCCTTGGGAGACTGAAGCATAAGTTAAAGTACTGCCTGGACTGGGTTGCTGAGATGGTTCAGTGGGTAAAAGCACTTGCTACCAAGTCTGATAACGTGTTCAATCCCAAGAACTCACAGAGTAGGAGAGAACTGACTCCTATAGGTTGTCCTGTGACCTCCACACATGTGCTATTGTTGTGTGTGTGTGTGTGTGTGTCCAGAACTGCAACAAAACAACAAAAAATAAATTTCAACAAAAAAATGCCAATTTCTGCTGTAATCTTTATGACACAGCGTGTTAAGGAGGCATCAAGAGAAGAATTAGGCTATAAATTTCCATGCTACACACCAATTTCAGAGAATGGGCCTTCGTGCCCTTCTGTCCACTCTGTGCTGTAAGTACCATGTAGAGAAAGTCTGAACAGGCGTTCCCAGTATGACTCTTGGATTAGTAACCAAATAAAGAACTGGTCATCAGATCCAGATGACTTCACTGGTGAATTCTACCAAATTAGAACATAACTAATCTAATCCTTCTCAAACTCTTCCAGAAGCCTGAAGAAGGATAATTTTCAAATTTCATGAGGATGTTTCCCTGAACCCAAAACCAGACAAAGACAGCAGAAGAAAAGAAAACTACAGGTTGGATTAGTAACCAAATAAAGAACTGGTCATCAGATCCAGATGACTTCACTGGTGAATTCTACCAAATTAGAACATAACTAATCTAATCCTTCTCAAACTCTTCCAGAAGCCTGAAGAAGGATAATTTTCAAATTTCATGAGGATGTTTCCCTGAACCCAAAACCAGACAAAGACAGCAGAAGAAAAGAAAACTACAGGTCAGTATCCCTGATGAATAGCTGTCAGTGTTTAAAAAAAAGCCCTCTACAAAATAATCACAAATCAAATTCAGCTTTACATAAAGAATTCTACTTCGGGGCTGGAAAGATGACTCAGTGGTTAAGAGCACTGACTGTTTTTGTAGAGGACCCAGGTTCAGTTCCCAGCACCCACCGTCTATAACTCCCCTTCCTTAGTATCTGACACTCTCTTCTGACCTCCATGGGCATTGCATGACATAGGTGTGCTTAAATACATGCAGACAATACATTCGTACACATAAAAATAATAAATAATTTTTTAAAATCCTACATTATAAACAAGAAGGATTTATCCCTGAGAGGTCAGGATGGTTCAACATGAAAATCAGAATAAAAGGGGCTGGAGAGATGGCTCAACAGTTAAGAGCACTGGCTGCTTTTGCTTTGCTGGTTCCCAGCACCCACATACAACAACTGTGCGTAACTCCAGCTCCAGGGGATCCAACACTTGCACTTATATACATGCAGGCAAAACATCTGTACACATAAAATAAAATAAAAATACATCAATCAAAACAATTTTTAAAGCAGAATAAAGGATAAAAATCATGCGATCATAATATGATTCCTAATATGCATCATGGCAGGAGTCTCTCTCTCTCCATCTCTCTCTCCATATATGTGTGTGTGTGTGTGTGTGTATCCTCTCTCTCTGTCCTCCTTCTCTTTTATATACACACAATCTTCAATCAATAAAATTTTTAAAAATAGTTCTGCAAGCCAGGCCTGGTGGTGCACGCCTTTAATCCCAGCACTCAGGAGGCAGAGGCAGGTGGATCTCTGTGAGTTCAAGGCCAGCCTGGTTCACATAGTGAGTTCCAGGACAGCTGGAGCTACTGGGAGACCCTGTCTCAAAAAGATGGGGAAAAAAAAAGTTTCTGCAGTATACAGCAACATGGATGACCTTGTGGACACTGCTAAGTAAACTAAGCCAGGTTCTGTGATTCCACCTAAAACAAGTCTACAAAACAGGTAGATTCATTGAATCAAAAGTGCAATGGGCTTTTCCCTCTTCTGGGGAACAGCCTCTAAAGGCACAAGATATAGTCCAGTGTTTGAACTAACAGTCATGGGTTTTTCTACAATGCAGCCTCCAATAAAACAAAGCCTGGTATACATAGTGAGTTCCAGGACAGCTGGGGCTACAGGGAGACCCTGTCTCAAAAAAAAAAAAAAAAAAAAAACCAAAGCTGTCCTGAACCCCTGGTAACAGAATTGTTCACCTTAAGTTGGGCATGGTGTGCTTGCCTATAATCCCAGCACTTGAAAGATTTAGGCAGGAGCCCAGGATATATAATGAGAGCCTGTCTCAAAACAAAACAAGGGCTTTCCTACTTCCCCCTCTTCCCCCTCTTCGCCCTCCTCCTCCCCCTCCCTCCTCTTCCTCCTCTTCCTCTTCCCTGTCCTCCTCCTCTGAATGTGCATTACTCATAACTTTTTAGTCACTTGTATTTATATTGTGTTTAAAAGCTGCTTTGGGGACTGGAGAGATGGCTTAGCAGTTCAGGATACTTGCTGTTCTTGTAGAAAAACCAGCTTCAGTTCCCAGCTCCCACATGGTGGCTCACAATCACCTGTGACTCCAGTTCCAGGGGATCCAAACCTTCTTCTGGCCTTCTAGGGCACTGCACACATGTGGTGCACTTACATACATGCAAGCAAATGAATGTATAAAAACATATTTTAAAAAATAAATAGAGCCAGGCGTGGTGGCGCACACCTTTAATCCCAGCACTTGGGAGGCAGAGGCAGGTGTATCTCTGTGAGTTCAAGGCCAGTATGGTCTACATGGCAAGTTCCAGGCCAGCTGGGGCTACAGGGAGCCCCTGCTTCAAAAAGACCAAATAAATAAATAGATAGGTGATTAGACAGACAGACAGACAGACAGACAGACAGACAGACAGATAGAAGTAGCTTTGGACTCTGATTTAGGAAAGGCTGAGAAATGTCATGAACACTTCTTACCCTTCAACATGCATGACATCACTTCGAGATTTGTCAGTGCAGTCTGCCTCAGCAAGTCTGGAGTGTGCCTGGCATGCTGCACGTCCAGCCAGCCCCAGTGACAGCTATGTCGGCCCCAGGGCACATCCCAAACAGTGAGAGGGAAATGACCTGCCTAGGGCTGCCCAGCCAGGACTAGAATTCTATCTCCTACCTCCCCAGGCAAGCCAGACCTACCTTGTCCTCTCTCATTCTGTTGACCACCAGTTGGAAATGAGACCCTCAGAAATGGGCCAAGCCACCTGTGCTGCCTGCCTGTCTGTGCTGGCTGCTTCTATGTGGGAACGTAGCTTCTTTCACATAGACATAGACAGTCGCTGCTGTTGCATCTCAGCCCTCCTAGAGCTAAGCTTCCCCTGGTGTTTATGCAACCTGCTGTGTAACAGCAACATGAAATTGCCATTTGTCCTTGCCACAAGAGATGGTTGGAAAAGAGCCCTCCAGAAGCTACAAACTTTCCTCCCTCCCTTATGAAACCTGAGGCCACTACAGGCATGCTGGGTACAGAGCTGCCTCATTCCACTGAGCAGTACTCTTGGGTTAGGGTCCTTGGGGCCTGGTTCTGTAGTCATCTTTAGATACATCATTGTATGCAACCCTCAACACCCTGTGAAAGGGAGGGCTCTTATTATTATTATTATCATAATTATTATTTGTGTGTGTATGTATGTGTGTGTGTTGGTGCACCTACAGAGTTCAGAGGAAAACTTTCAGAAGCCATTTCTCTCCTTCGACCATGAGCTCCAGCACAGGCAAGTGCTTTTTTTACAAGCTGAGCCATTTTGTTGACTCAGTGGCCTAAAAGGAGGGTTCTTAGACCGTTTTTACCGATGAGAAAACTGAAACTCCAGCTCATTAAGTGTTTGCCTAAGGACACGTACCTAGAACTCAAAGCTTTGTTTGTAATCACTCTACCTTGCTAAAAATGGTGCAGGTCACCGGTTCAGGTTAGCCCTAGGGACCCTTGTGCAGCCTATTTGTTGGGTTTCAGTAGTGCAGCCAAAGTCCCGAGTTGTTTGTTTCCCCTCCCCCCCACTAGTCTCCTCTGAGAAGGTGAGGATTGCAGCTTTGTTTTGTGTATGTTTGTGTATGCGTGCACGTGTGTTTATGTGTTCCTGTGTGGATATACGTATGGAAGCCAGAGATCAGTGTCAATCAGTGTCTTCCTCAGTTGCTCTCCATCTTACCCATTTGAGGCGTGATGTCTCACTGAACTTGCCTGTTCAACTAGCCTGAATGACCACTGAGTCCAGGGATCTTCCTGTCTCCACCTCCCCAGCTCTGGGATTACAAGCATGCAGCACCACACCCAGCTGTTACATGGCTGTTGTGGATCCAAACAGGTCCTCATGCTTGTGCAGCAAGTACTTTGCTAACTGAGCATCCCCTCAGCCTGAGGATCACATTTCTCAATTTTCCTGTAGCCGAAATTCATTTCCCTATCAGACACTTGTTCTGCTATGGGCACAGCTATGTCTCAGGTGACTTGGACAGTCCTGGTTCATTCCATATCTTCTGGGGCAACTTGGGCCTTCCTTAATCCATCCAAACCCAGCCCTTGCTCCATGGGTCACAACCATCTCCTGGAAGTTTGCCCAAAGAAGGGCTGACCACTGTAAATGGATGCTTTTGCAGCCCCAAAACATCTCTCAAGGGCCTAAGAGCTATTTTCAGGAATGCAAATTTCAAAAGAAAAAGGTTTCAGCCTCCAAGTCCCATAAGAGGACAGAGTTCTAACTTGAGAATTTCTACCCGACAAACACAGCTGTCCTCTCATTTCACCACTTGACTTCTACTCACATGGCTTACTCTCTCTCCCTTCAAACCCTTCCCTGTCCTCCCTCATACCTCATAGCTCCTCTCTTGCTTCCTGGACTCAGTGCTGGTTTGAATGAGAATCTCCCCCATAGGCTCTGGGCATTTGAATCATTGGCCCCAGTTGGTGACATTGTTTGGAAGGTTTAGGAGGTCCATCCTTGCTGGAGGAAGCACGTCACTGGGGGTGGACTTTGAGAGTTCATAGTCTTGCCCCAATTCTAGTTTCTCACTCTGCTTTCTGCATGTGCTTGGAGGTGTGACAGCTCAGCCTCCTGATTGGCCTGCCTCTGCCACCATGCCTCCCTTTGTGATGGACTCCTGTCCCTCTGTAAATATAAGCCAAATAAACCCTTTTATCCGTTGCCTTGGTCATGGCCTTTTGTCTCAGCAACAGAAAAGTAACTAATACAGTCTCTAGAGACATCCCATCAATACAGAAACTAAACATTCAAATCTTGTATCTGTAATTGAGAGCAGAGATGCAGTATATGTCTTTCTGGCCCTTGGTTACCTTACTCAGTATAATATTTTTCCATTCCATTGACTTACCTGCAAATTTCATCAATTTTCTTTATAACTGAATAAAATTCCATATTTATATGTACCACATTTTCATTAGCCATTCATTGGTTGATGGACATCTAGGTAGATTCCATTTCCTAGTATTTCAAACAGCAGTAGTAAACATAGACATGCAGGTATTTCTGTTATAGGATAGAGAGTCCTTTTGATAGATGCCCAGGAATGGGATCGCTGGCTCATGTAGTAGTTTTGTTGTCAGTTTTTTTGAGAAACGTCCTCACTGATTTCCACAGTGACTGTACCAGTAGTAAACAAGGGTTTCCCTTTCCCCACATCTTTGCCAGTACTTGTCATTTATTTTTTCAATAATGGCCATTCTTACTGGGGTGAGATGAAATCTTAAAGTAGTTTTTGATTTGCATTTCCTTGATGACTAAAAATGCTAAACACTTTTTTAAATAGCTGAGATCCTGAAAAAGAGAACGCTCCTAGACAAAGATCTGCAGGTCGGGGTGCAGGAAGAGCTGAAGGGAGACCTGAACATGAAGAAGGGGAGCGACACAGCACAGGTGGAGCAGGTGGTGCAGGCCAGTGTGGCAGCAGCACCCACAGCCCCAGTGACAGCAGCACTGGCAGCACCTCCAGCGCCTCCTCCTCCTCCTCCCTCAGCATCCGCTCCACTGCCCCATCCCACAACCCCACCACCAGCAGCTGCCCAGAAGAGGAAGCGGGAAGGGCAGAAGGATGCCAAGTCCAAGAAGAAAATGATCTCCACTGCCTCAAAGGAAACTAAGAAGGACACAAAGCTCTACTGTATCTGTAAAACACCTTATGATGAGTCTAAATTTTATATTGGCTGTGATCGGTGTCAGAATTGGTACCACGGGCATTGTGTTGGCATCTTGCAAAGTGAGGCAGAGCTCATTGATGAGTATGTCTGTCCACAGTGCCAGTCGAAAAAGAATGCCATGACAGTGCTCACACCACTGACAGAGAAAGACTATGAGGGCTTAAAGAAGATACTGCACTCCTTACAGACCCATAAGCTGGCCTGGCCTTTCCTTGAGCCAGTAGACCCCAGTGTTGCACCAGATTACTATGGTATTATTAAGGAACCCATGGATCTTGCCACCATGCAAGAAAGAGTACAAAAACGGTATTATGAAAAGCTGACGGAATTTGTGGCAGATATGAACAAAATTTTTGATAACTGTCATTACTACAATCCAAGTGACTCCCCTTTTTGCCAGTGTGCAGATGTCCTGGAATTATTTTTTGTACAGAAATTGAAAGGATTCAAGGTTAGCAGGTCTCTTAACAAGAAACGACAGTCTACAGCTTCAAGTTCAGTGTGTAAACTTAACCCAAAGCACAGCAAGAATCGGGTTGTCTGAACTAGTTTAAATTAAAGAGCCAGATGATTTTAGTCAGGTTATCCTGACAAGGCTTGACCTGAACTTCGTTTTCCTTGGTCCTAACAGTCCAGTTGTATTCTTGACCAATTTTGTCAGACAGACAAGAACAAAGTTAATGACATCATTATCTTGTCAAGATCAAATGGTTTTACTATTGTGGCAGAAGTGGGAAAACTTTGTTTATTGAAAAAAAAGAAAGCAAGGAAAAAAAATATGCTATGGGGTCCAGTGTGTAACTCCATGGAAATGCCACGTCTGCTCTTCAGTAGAGAAGCTGGTTTAGAGTCTCACAGAAAACTTTTGACTTTTTTTTTTTTTTTTGGTCTTTTTGAGACAGGGTCTCCCTGTAGCCTCAGCTGACCTGGAATTCACTATGTAGACCAGGCTGGCATTGAACTCACAGAGATCTGCCTGCTTCTGCCTCCCAAGTGCTGGGATTAAAGGCGTACACTAGTTCACCTGGCTTGACTTTTTTTTTTTTTAATTGTTGCAAAAAAGACACTTTTTATTGCTGTACTCATTTGTCAGGTAATTGTTTTTTCTTATAAAATGCAGCCCCGGTCCATCCCATATGTTCTCATGATTCCTGTAGGTAAAGTACACAGCAACCTCTAGATGCCTTTTCCTTCTATGAAAGGAGCTGCTGTGTATACATGTGCTCACACACAGCTTGGAATCAACAGTGAGTTTATTGTTCATGGTAGAGGAAAATGAAGCTTGCAGAAAAGTTGAGCTCAGTGCTCCTGGACGACAGACTCCATTGCCTGGAATATACCAGTACAGTTTGTCATTTACTCCGCACCAGGCTGAAGTGAGCAAAATCTATTTGAAGGTTTCTCGTTTGTAAACCGTTTTCAGATTATAATTTTTTTCTTTTTGTATTAAAATTCAACTGTGGATGTATATGAATCCAAATAAATAAGATAATTTTTTCACCCACAAAAAAAATTTATTAGCCATTTATATTTCTTTTGACAACTCTGTCCAAGTCATAGTTCGATTTTTTAATTGAGTTGTTTCCTTACTTTGGTTCTTTGTATATTCTAGATACGAATCCTCTGTTAGATGTAAAATAACAAGGGTGATTTCTCCCATTTTGTAGGCTGTCTCACTCAACTGACCATTTCCTCTGCTGTACAAGAGCTTTCTAGTTGCATAAGGTAGAGGTAAGATCTTACTTGCCATGTAGCTCAGGCTAGTCTGTGATTCCTAATCCTCCTACATCTGCCTCTGCAGAGTGTTGGGATCACAGGTGTAAATGCAAAAACATAGCTCTCACCTCAAAAGGATAAGAGATGTTTTCTTCTGGAGCCAAAGATCGTGGCTCGGGAACACAGACTTAGGTCACCCCAAATTCCACGTTCCAACATGGTAACAGTTTGCTGAAATTTTTATGGTAACAGAACAAAGAAAGCCATAAACCAAGGCACTTTTCAAATGCATTGGTGGAAACGTTAAGTAGACAGTTACAGCAAAAGAGAGAAATCTCAGCTATAGGCCCCAGGTGCTAATGATATGCTTGGTCTTTTTGTTGGTGCAAGCTAATGGTCTGCCAAGTTAACGTGTTCCAGAAGGTTTTTAATCCGTTAGTCAGAAGATGTTATGTCCAACACAGAAGTAAAGAGTGGTTATTTAGGGAGATAAAGATGGCCCAAGATAGACTGTAATTAGGCTCTAGACCTGCAGCATTCCAGGCTCTCCGCAGTCACTGAAGTCCTGATCAGTGAATTGTCTTGCAGATGGTTCAAATACAGGTTCTTTCTGGGAACTTGTGTCTACACAGGCATGTGCCACCAGGCCCAGCCCCCTGGTTCCTTTCATACTGAACAGCCCTCTGTGTGTGTCATTGTCTTCCTCCCTCTCCCCCTCCATTTCTTCCTCCTTCTTCTGTACTAGGGATTGGATTTAGGCCTCAAGCATACTAGGAAAATGCTCTGCCACTGAGCAACATCCCAGCCCCTTTGGAGTCCTTACTTTGACTCTATGCCCCATCTCATGCCCCCTCTACTTCCTTGCTTTTCGTTGGCTTTAAAAGTCATTAATTCTGGGACTGGACAGATGGCTCCATGGTTAAAAACACTGACTTTTCTTCCAGAGGACCCAGGTTCGGTTCCCAGCCTCCACATGGTAATTAACAGCCATCCATGACTCCAGTTCCAGCACGTCTCTGGACACTGCACACGTGGTCCGCTTACATACATGAAGGCAAAGTACTCGTACACATAAAATAAAAATAATAGATAAATATGTTTAAAGTCACTCGTTCTGTAGGCCATGTGCTCTGTATTATTCGTTGCCCACCAGCTTTGTAGATGACAGCTCTCACATGTGGATTATAATGACAGAAATTGCCTGTTATTTTTCAGGAACTTGAAGGACTTTTGATAGGAACTGCTACCTTTCATTTGAGTCTGTGTGAGTATCTGGTGGGGGACTTTCTGAATTCGGGAGGCTGAAAACTCTACCCTTTGATCATGACAATGCTACTGTCCCTTTCTTCCTTTCTTTGTTTTTATTATTATTATTACCATTATTATTGTTATCAATATTATTATTATCAGCTCATATAGCCCAGGCTGGACTCAAACTCCTGTTCTTCCTGAGTCTGTCTCCCAGGGGCTTGAATTGCCACTATGTGCCACCATACCTGACTCTTTTTCTGACATTCATCCTATGACAAATCATAAAGCTTCACTACTTGTACATAGACCACTAATTTACTCACCTCCAGTCATCACACACACACCTTAAGTCTCCATGTTCCTTTGTCCTCTATGTAATTGCCAAACTCTACCCTCAGGGGAATGGTTGAAGACCTGGGTCTTCCACCCCTAAAATTTCTAGCATCTCTCAACAGCACCCTCTGGAGATCAAGCTGTCAAAGCATGAGCCTTTGGGGGACAGTCTAGCTTCCAAGTATAGCACTGTCTGAGGAAGGCTGGAGAACTGAAATCCGAAGAGGGGCAGCAGGGTGGCTCAGAGCTTGGGAGAAGAGAAATGTCCACTCTCTCTGAAGTTAGTCCTGCTTGTGTCAAGAGAGCACGACAGAGGAAAATGAGATTGCCTTTGCTCCTCATTTCCGGCTCCCTCCACTTTCCACAGCCCCCCCAACATTCACCCGTGCACTACTCCCCTCACCTGTCCCTCCACCCCACCGCACCCCCTGACCTTCTTACTGACTAGAGTGTGTGAGTTCTGCTAGAAGTCCTGGCCTTTTGGAGAAATATCCATGCCTCTCCTGTGCCACCCACCCCATATTTGTCTTCCTTTCCTCTCTGCCGCCTCCAAATGGCATGCCTTGGCATCCTACCTGTTGAACTTTGTCCTAATAAGGGTAGAGTGCTTTTTCCAACTGCCAACAGTAGTCCTATGGCTAAGATAAAAAAGTGAACACAGAGGTGGACTTACACCAATTGCACAAGTAGCAAGTCAACCATTATTGTAACATGACTTCACTGGGAAATTATTTTAGAAGAAAGAGGTTGGCTGAGTTTTCAGTCCTTTTCCCTCCATTTGAACCGAAAGCCTCTGGTCAACCAGCTGGAGAGAACCTGACTCCAGCAACAAGTGGGTTCCAGCTAGCACACCTTCCTTCCTCACTTGACGTGTGAAGAAAAACACTGAATGTGACTTCCCGCTAGTTAGAACCTGTTGTATTTCCTCTTCATTGAACTCATCTACCCACTACTGTGTCTCCCTTTTCCCTCCTGGGATGCTCTGTTTCTGTTTCCCAGCCATGTTTTGCAGTCAGATGAGATTGTCCTTCCTCAGAGTCCTGTGGGCAGAGCAACCCACATGAATGGCTGTGACGGAGAGCAGGGCCCCTCCTCTTGTATCAGTGGGTAGCAAAGAAAGTAGCATGTGCCATTAAAAATGTAAACCTTTGTCCTCAACTCTTGAGAGGCCATCTCTAAACTCTTGGCATGTCCTGTTTGATTAGAGTGCTTTGTTCGTAAAGGGCCTTGGGTCATGCCAAATAGTTTAATTTATGGTTGGAGCTTGGGAAACACATTATCAGCTTAATCCCATAGTGATTAGAAACTAAGGTCACCACTGAGCAGCTAGCCATGTTCACAAGACCCAACCCTAGTGACAGCTCTGGAACCCAGTACTCTGATGTGCATCCTCGCCTGGCAATGCATCATGCTTATTTATTGTTAGACATTATTTCCCCAAAGACTTAGTATCTGTGACTTTACTGGCAAAGGATGCCTGAAAGCTCTGCATATGGAGCTCTGCTGGACTCTGCCTGTGCATCTTTTCCCTTGGATGATGTTAATCAGAAGGATGCTGTCCATTCATTGTAAAAACTTGAAACTCCAAGCATAGTAGTTGCAATCAAGCTCCATGAAACTTTCTAGTGAATTACTGTACTTGGAAGTAGCTCTGCAGATCCCTGAATTTGCAATTTTTTTTGTCAGAAGTGAAGGTGGTCCTGAGAACTATCCCCTAAGTTGAACTTGGTGGTCTTTGACTAGAAACATTCAGTCTCTAGTCTTGGATTTATTCCACTTACCAAGTGGACCTCTTTTACTTCTTTGCTTGGTGGGGAGGGTGTTCCCTGCATGCCCACTGGAGGAGGTGCTGTGGGGATTGAGATGGAAGTGAAGAGGCTGTGAAAGTGGTCCTGCTTCATGCCAGTGCCATAATGTCACACAAGTGTACTGCATGCCCTTCATATCTAGGCACATTTGATGATAGTGTCCATCATATGACTGACCACACCTCTCTCTAGAGGGAGGAAAAGCAGGTTTAACCTAATAATAAACATTGAAGCCTGATTGGAAGCTGTTTCCCCAAGTCAAGGCCCATGGAACTGCTCTCATGGTAAATGAATGCAAGCTCTGCACTCATAATAGGAAAATAGAAATTTAGATTAGAATACACTTATTACCCATCAGAATGGTAAAACCCAAGAATCTTGACCAACCACTCTATTATAGTTTGCTTTCTGTTGCTGTGATAAACACCATGACCAAAAGCAACTTGGGAAGGAAGGGTTTGTTTCAGCTTACAGAATCACAGTTCATCATGAAGGGAAGTCAGGGCAGGAACTGAAGTAGAAACCATGGAGGAACCCTGCTCATTGACTTGCTCACTGACTTTCTTATACAGTGCAGACCCTCCTGTCTAAGAATGGTTCTGTTCATAGTGGACTGAACCTTCCCACATCAATCACCAGTCAAGGCAAGTG